ATATAAAAAGACAGACAGTAAAGACCATTTACTGTAAAAGAAAAAAAGAAAAACATGTATTCATTAAAAAAACTCACAAATGTTGAAATCAAAGTCTGTAGCAGTTAGATATGGTCATTATTTATAGTGTCTGAGAGTTTAGTGCGTGTACATGGCTTCAGTAAAAGCTATTTTTTGTTGACAAAGCTGGTATTGACATTGGTTGACGGTCCCTAAGCGCTTTTCTCGGCGCTTGCAGTGCACTGGATTCAATGGATTTCTCTGCATTAAAAACAGCGCATTGGATTTGAAAAATCAACATAGAGGTGATCATTTTAGCAAATTACTTTTGTTTAACAAAGTAACTTCCGTGAGCTATTGACCGCGGAAGTCCGAATCTGGGAATATGACGCTACTTTACCAGACTTCTGCCAGGATGATGCTGCGGGCACGGCCGATCCATGCACGGCCCACGCTGTCACTTGTCAACAGTAAGGGTAAACCCATGGATGTGATCAAGCCTACGCCCCCTTTGACACTGTTTGGCCGAAAGGTAGACGCTTAAACTGTGATTACTGTGTGTGCGTGTGTCGCTTGTATGACATGCAGTGAGTGAGTGATGCATTTAAGGCGACTCTGAAAATACGGGACAAAAGCCGTCCCGTATCAGTTCAATACGGGACGCACATAGTTTTTCTATAATACGGGACGATTCCGTATTTCAAGGGACGGTTGGCAACCCTACCAACGAGACACGAAAAAACTGTTCATGTTTATCTTGTATCTTTTGGTTTCACATTTTAAGTAGAATCACAAAAATAAATGAACTTTTGGACATGAATTTGACTTTTACCTGTACTTTTAGCAAAACCAACACTCCTCCTACAACCATTAAAAAGTAAATAATTATTATTTATAGACCGATTGTACATGTTTTTTTAGTGGTAGGGGAAACCGGAGCACCTGGAGGAAACCCACGCAGACACAGACAACTTGCAAACTCCTCTCAGAATGGCCCTGTTTCGACCGGGATTCTGAAACGGTAAACGTGGGGCTACAGTTTGCACGAAGACAAGAGGACGGACTTTACCCAAAAAAACGGCACATTTCACCCCATTTCAGAGACAGAGAGAAGTGCGAGAGCTTCACACACTTTGTCTCGGAACAGGAGGTACCTGTGCTCTGTGATTTAGGAGAGAGAAAGGTACGATCGCAGCGGAGATCCCGGCCCACTTAAAGCTTTCACAAAACAATGTTCTCCAAACTAATGTACAGAGTTATGGTGCGAGACTTTACCCGAATACTGCAGTCAGTACTTCAACAGAATACTGAATACTTCCTCTGAACGCTACTCAGATTGTCCTGGCCCTATATTTACAGAATATACCTTTGTACTATATATATATTTTTTTTATGAAGGACTGATACTGAAGCATTAACAGTGTTGAATATTTCAGAAACGCAGCACACGTCGACACACATCTATGAAAATATGAAGTTATTTTATTTAATCATGAAATGTCTCCATAACTAAGTGTTTTTTATATTAATCGTTTGGTGTTTGCATAAAAGCCTTTAGTGTTTTGTGTTAGTCTGAGTCTGAATTCAGAAAGATTTAAAGACAATGTTGGTTTCTGTGACGCACTGTAGTATCTTTAAAGGAACAGAGCCTCTCTGATCGGGACAAAGGGATGAGACCCAAAACCAGACCAGACCAGACCCAGTGTCTCAGTCCGGTCTTACCATATGACGTCATTGGCGGCACCTGCTTTAGCTCCTTTAGCTCCTGCTCTAGCTCCTGCTTTAGCTCCTACTCTAGCTCCTGCTTTAGTTCCTGCTCTAGCTCCTGCTTTAGCTCCTGCTTTAGCTCCTGCTCTAGCTCCTGCTTTAGCTCCTGCTTTAGTTCCTGCTCTAGCTCCTGCTTTAGCTCCTGCTTTAGCTCCTGCTCTAGCTCCTGCTTTAGCTCCTGCTTTAGCTCCTGCTCTAGCTCCTGCTTTAGCTCCTGCTTTAGTTCCTGCTCTAGCTCCTGCTTTAGCTCCTGCTTTAGCTCCTGCTTTAGCTCCTGCTTTAGCTCCAGCTCTAGCTCCTGCTTTAGTTCCTGCTCTAGCTCCTGCTTTAGCTCCTGCTTTAGCTCCTGCTTTAGCTCCTGCTCTAGCTCCTGCTTTAGCTCCTGCTTTAGCTCCTGTTCTAGCTCCTGCTCTAGCTCCTGCTTTAGCTCCTGCTCTAGCTCCTGCTTTAGCTCCTACTCTAGCTCCTGCTTCAGTTCCTGCTCTAGCTCCTGCTTTAGCTCCTGCTTTAGCTCCTGCTCTAGCTCCTGCTTTAGTTCCTGCTCTAGCTCCTGCTTTAGCTCCTGCTTTAGCTCCTGCTTTAGCTCCTGCTTTAGCTCCTGCTCTAGCTCCAGCTCCTGCTATAGCTCCTGCTTTAGCTCCTGCTCTAGCTCCTGCTTTAGCTCCTGCTTTAGCTCCTGCTCTAGCTCCTGCTTTAGCTCCTGCTCTAGCTCCTGCTCTAGCTCCTGCTTTAGCTCCTACTCTAGCTCCTGCTTTAGCTCCTGCTCTAGCTCCTGCTCTAGCTCCTGCTTTAGCTCCTACTCTAGCTTCTCCTTTAGCTCTTGCTTTAGCTCCTGCTTTAGCTCCTGCTCTAGCTCCTGCTCTAGCTCCTGCTTTAGCTCCTGCTTTAGCTCCTGCTCTAGCTCCTGCTTTAGCTCCTGCTCTAGCTCCTGCTCTAGCTCCTGCTTTAGCTCCTGCTTTAGCTCCTGCTCTAGCTCCTGCTTTAGCTCCTGCTCTAGCTCCTGCTCTAGCTCCTGCTTTAGCTCCTACTCTAGCTTCTCCTTTAGCTCTTGCTTTAGCTCCTGCTTTAGCTCCTGCTCTAGCTCCTGCTCTAGCTCCTGCTTTAGCTCCTGCTTTAGCTCCTGCTCTAGCTCCTGCTTTAGCTCCTGCTTTAGCTCCTGCTCTAGCTCCTGCTTTAGCTCCTGCTCCGCCTGTGCCCCATTCACACTACGCCCTCCAGCCACCACCGGTCATTGCACCAATCAATAAAGCTTTCTAAAATGCATTTTGTGTCTGTCCTGGTCTCTGCAGATTGAATTAGAAAACATTGCATCTTGTACAGACTGAGAGCTGAGGGAGGCCTGGGACTGATTTAATGATGTGACAGGGGCCAAAAAAACGCATAAATACATGTATACTTAAGAATACAACTAGTGATAGAAGAATACAACTATAGTGATAGAACCAGTAATCAAGTGGATTTTATCACTTAGTCAATTCTTTATGGTTCCATTGTTAAGAACTCCAACTCTATGCGATAGTTAACCTCAAATGTGCAGTTTGTAAAAATGTGGCCAAAAGTGGTACTGCAGCCTCTCCCACTCTCCCTGACTCAGGTTGCCAGATATGCAGACGAATCCAGCTGGGACCATAACAGCTGAATAGACAAGAGTTTTGTCAACAACAAATCTATAACCAACACCTTTTTCACAAAGATAGAAATCCTGGTTTTATTCCTTGTTTTGTCGTTAATGATTTGAGAATCATAACGAGACCTTTTTTAGTTCTGCGCCACATGGTACTTTACCAGTGAGATTAGCTCCACATGGTACTTTACCAGTGAGATTAGCTCCACACGGTGAGTTCTGGCGCCCGGATCACAGACTTTCTGATTGGTGAAACGGTGGAGGGCGGGACATCGAAATGAAAATAATAACAAGATTTAGAGGCTGGAAAAGTAATTTAGAAATTCAAATATCTCTGAACTACTGGGGTGAGCTGGACCACAGGGTGACGGGGCCAACAAGTGCAAAGCATCATGGGAACTCCTTCAAGAGTGTTGGAGACCATTTCAGGTCCTGTTGAAGCTCATCCAGAGAATGCCAACAGTGAAGCAGTATCAGAGCAAAAGGAGCTACTTTGAAGAACCAGAATTTAACACATATTTACACTTGGTTCATACTTTTTTACTACGAACATAATTCACATGAGTTCATTCATAGTTTTGATGCCTTCAGTGTCAATCTACAATTTTAATCATCAAAATAATAAAATTCTTTGAATGAGAAGGTGTGTCCAAACTTTTGGTCTTTACTGTATATATAAATCATTAACAAAAAGAAAAAAAATAGTGACCGATTTGTTTTGTGTAAACATCGGTGTCAGAACTTCACGATCAGTGCGTCTGTATAATCCATACTTTATATTCTCACCCAGAAAATAGCAACAAATGTCCTTTTAACTGTAAAATAAATACAGACGCTAATAATTGATCAGTGTGCCGCCCTCACAACACGAGACTGTGTGAAGCAGAACGGTTTAGAAAACTCTGCACACACGGCTTGCTCTTGTTTCATAGAGAATCTTGTGTTTGGTTTATTTCACAAAAAATGACTAAAATCTGCAACAACAGAAAAATATGCGTCACTATAAACGGCTGCACACACAGAATGACATACTGCGTTAGCTAAACAGATGTAGCATCAACATAACCATTTACGGTCAAATAAAATACCTTAAGTTTGACAAGTCTCAACACAAGAAAGCTCTAAATGAGTCGTTCAGATTACGTGCTTGTACAAGTTAGCTCCTGCTTTAGCTCCTGCTTTAGCTCCTGCTTTAGCTCCTGCTCTAGCTCCTCCTCTAGCTCCTGCTCTAGCTCCTCCTCTATATATGCTCCTCCACCTACATTTTAGCACAAACAGCTAAATTAACGCATTACTTAGCATTGAAGAACGCATTGTATGTTTTAAAACTAACTTATAACTAATAAATTATGTTTTTAAACTTTAAACAATCACCACAATATATTGCACCATCATGATCGAACAAAAATGCAGTAAAGTGCATCTCGTGAGCCTGACTATCGAGCCTGTCTTTCTCTGTCTCTCCCGTCTTGTCTTCCAGTTTACAATACTTCCACTGCAACACACAAAAAGAGCTGACACACACACACACACACACACACACACATCCCCCCTCTCCTTATTTTCAGCCGCAGTACACACTTTCCCGGTGTCGTACACAGAGTGGTGAATGTTCTGCGTCTCCGTGTGGGAATTGCGGCGCCTGGAGTCCGCGGGGTTTAAGACTAAAAAGTTGAGAGCGGTGACGAATGGACACGCCGCTAAACGACAGGAGCGAGTGTATGCCCAAAACACACCGCCGCAGCAGCCGCACCGACCCCATGGGGCAGAGGGAAAGGCCAAGCTGCACACTTTCAGACGTCCACGTATAGCAGCTGTTGTGGACGCCTCGGTCTCAAGTCTCAGTTAGTCCTGGTCTCAGGTCTCTGCTTCTTGCGCCTCAGAGATAGACTTTAATAGACTGGCCGTGGGTTCGAATCCCGGTAAGAGCAGGGCCTTCCTGAGTGGAGTCTGCATGGTGTCCCCTTAAATCTAATATGGATTACTATGTTGTCTCTGTGTCTACTTAGGTTTCCTCCAGGTGCTCCGGTTTCGCCTGCCACTAAAAACATGTACAATAGGTCTGACATATTCCTGCAGTACTCTCTGTTTGATATATATATAGGAGTTACATATGTACAGTATATAACTCTGTCTATATGTACAGTATATAACTCCTGTCCTATATGTACAGTATATAACTCCTGTCCTATATGTACAGTATATAACTCCTGTCCTATATGTACAGTATATAACTCCTTTCTATATGTACAGTATATAACTCCTGTCCTATATGTACAGTATATAACTCCTGTCTATATGTACAGTATATAACTCCTGTCCTATATGTACAGTATATAACTCCTGTCTATATGTACAGTATATAACTCCTGTCTATATGTACAGTATATAACTCCTGTCCTATATGTACAGTATATAACTCCTGTCTATATGTACAGTATATAACTCCTTTCTATATGTACAGTATATAACTCCTGTCCTATATGTACAGTATATAACTCCTGTCCTATATGTACAGTATATAACTCCTGTCTATATGTACAGTATATAACTCCTGTCCTATATGTACAGTATATAACTCCTGTCTATATGTACAGTATATAACTCCTTTCTATATGTACAGTATATAACTCCTGTCCTATATGTACAGTATATAACTCCTGTCTATATGTACAGTATATAACTCCTGTCTATATGCACAGTATATAACTCCTGTCCTATATGTACAGTATATAACTCCTTTCTATATGTACAGTATATAACTCCTGTCCTATATGTACAGTATATAACTCCTGTCTATATGTACAGTATATAACTCCTTTCTATATGTACAGTATATAACTCCTGTCCTATATGTACAGTATATAACTCCTTTCTATATGTACAGTATATAACTCCTGTCCTATATGTACAGTATATAACTCCTGTCCTATATGTACAGTATATAACTCCTGTCCTATATGTACAGTATATAACTCCTGTCTATATGTACAGTATATAACTCCTGTCTATATGCACAGTATATAACTCCTGTCCTATATGTACAGTATATAACTCCTTTCTATATGTACAGTATATAACTCCTGTCCTATATGTACAGTATATAACTCCTCTCTATATGTACAGTATATAACTCCTTTCTATATGTACAGTATATAACTCCTGTCCTATATGTACAGTATATAACTCCTTTCTATATGTACAGTATATAACTCCTGTCCTATATGTACAGTATATAACTCCTGTCCTATATGTACAGTATATAACTCCTGTCCTATATGTACAGTATATAACTCTGTCTAAAGGTACAGTATAGAACTCCTTTCTATATGTACAGTATATAACTCCTGTCCTATATGTACAGTATATAACTCCTGTCTATATGTACAGTATATAACTCCTGTCCTATATGTACAGTATATAACTCCTGTCCTATATGTACAGTATATAACTCTGTCCTATATGTACAGTATATAACTCCTGTCTATATGTACAGTATATAACTCCTGTCCTATATGTACAGTATATAACTCCTGTCTATATGTACAGTATATAACTCCTGTCCTATATGTACAGTATATAACTCCTGTCTATATGTACAGTATATAACTCTGTCCTATATGTACAGTATATAACTCCTGTCTATATGTACAGTATATAACTCCTGTCCTATATGTACAGTATATAACTCCTGTCCTATATGTACAGTATATAACTCCTGTCCTATATGTACAGTATATAACTCCTGTCCTACATGTACAGTATATAACTCCTGTCTATATGTACAGTATATAACTCCTGTCTATATGTACAGTATATAACTCCTGTCCTATATGTACAGTATATAACTCCTTTCTATATGTACAGTATATAACTCCTGTCCTATATGTACAGTATATAACTCCTGTCCTATATGTACAGTATATAACTCCTGTCCTATATGTACAGTATATAACTCCTGTCCTATATGTACAGTATATAACTCCTGTCTATATGTACAGTATATAACTCCTGTCCTATATGTACAGTATATAACTCCTGTCCTATATGTACAGTATATAACTCCTGTCTATATGCACAGTATATAACTCCTGTCCTATATGTACAGTATATAACTCCTTTCTATATGTACAGTATATAACTCCTGTCCTATATGTACAGTATATAACTCCTGTCCTATATGTACAGTATATAACTCCTGTCTATATGTACAGTATATAACTCCTGTTCTATATGTACAGTATATAACTCCTGTCTATATGTACAGTATATAACTCCTGTCTATATGTACAGTATATAACTCCTGTCCTATATGTACAGTATATAACTCCTGTCTATATGTACAGTATATAACTCCTGTCCTATATGTACAGTATATAACTCCTGTCTATATGTACAGTATATAAATCCTGTCCTATATGTACATAGCTCCCTGTGCTCTTACTACTGTCCTGTCTGTGCGCTGCAACATTGAAATTTCCCCACTGTGGGACGAATAAAGGAACTCTTTTTTTCCTTATTATTATTTACGCCTTATTTAAAACAGCTCTGTTTGACTCTCCAGGGCCTCGAACCAAAGTACATCTGTGACTTTACATGTTTTATTAATTAAAACATTCATTGAGGTTGTGGATTTAAATATTTAGAAATTTACCTTTAATAAGTTTTGTAAATAAACATGAATATACAATTAATATAATAATAAAAATGTGAATAATAAGTATAAATAAACATATTTGAAGTAATCTGATTACTGATTCCAAAATAACAGATACACACAACACATTTTAGGTCATGTTTTCAGTGTTCTCCCCAACACAGGTCATAGAAACGCGATCAAGGGGTCAGAGAAAGCTATATTTATAAAAACCCGCCGGGCCCAGAGCTGATCCATAATTATTGGTCCAAATCCATCTGAGAGACCGTGAGCTTGCGTTTCACTTCCTCTGAGGCCACTCCTCATGTTACAGAGAGCCCAGGAGCTGACGCCGCAGTGGGTCTCGGGGCGTCACAACAGCTGCCCTTCACAGAACCCTTTGGTGTTCTGTGCAGTCAGACGCCCCCTGGTGGGAGGGAGGGGAGGTGCAGGTGCAGGCTTCAGACACAATGAGGAAATATAGGCCCAGTCCCAATACCCAGACTGCAACCTACACTCCTCTACGAAGTGTGCATTTGTTCGAAGTGCACACCAGGGTTGGAGTGCGCAGGTTACAAGTGTGGAAAAAAGGCGGAATTGGGACAGTGCTCACTGAGTGCAGGTTACGTCATCGACTCGTCAAGAGATGGACATTTTCAGACCTAAACTTTATAAAAATTAAAGGTAACTTTGTCTGACCCTTTGGGAAACTAAATGAATTGCTTCACACACGTTAAAATACATGTATATTAGTTGTTTTTAATTAGAGATAGCTGTATAATTTTAAGTTAAATGTGGGTAACTAACTATCTGGTCAGTTTTTATACATTCTAAGATTATTGTACTAAGTGTAAAGTTTAAATTGAATGTTATATAAACGCTTGCTTTAAAAAGTTATTAAATTGTTAAAACACAATGGGCCTCATTCACGAATAACTTCGTAAGAAACTACTCAACTTTCTTCTCAAGTTGTCCTTAAGTAGATTTCTAAGAAGTCCCCACGTGGGATTCATCAACGCACTCGTAAGGCGCTGAATTGTTCGCAGCTGTTCTCTCAGATTGATGAATCCCATTTCCTCGTAAGTACAGCGCGCGTGCCAGGTGCTTCATTAGCATAGGTACTTAGCATAAGTAACCGCCCACTAATGCCCATATAAGGGACTGCAGGGCCGTGTGCAGACGGCAGAGGAAACAGCAACAGGCCTAAAGCAACAGGCCACGGAGCAAAAGAGTCACCCTTTTTTCTTCTTTTACCAGACTGAGAATAAAGTTATAAAATGTTGACTTAAAAGTCGAAATATTATGATAATAAAGTCGAACTAGCAAAATTATGAGATTAATCTAAGAATATGATGAGATTAATCTCAAAATGTTATGAGCTTAATTTAAAAATATATTATGTATTATTTTAAAGATGAATCTCAAAATGTTTTGAGATTAATCTCAAAATATTTTGGACCCTGGGAGGAGATCCAGCGCGGACCAGCGCTGAGACCAATGCAGACCCGAGGAGAGACTGGAGTGACCAGCACACAAAAACCAGCGCGGACCTATAGGAGAGACCGCATAGACTGGAGACACCTGACTGGAGAGACCGGTGCGCAGAGACCAGCGCGGACCGAAGAGAGACCGCATAGACCAGACTTGAGAGACCAGCGCGGACCCGTATGGATCCAGGAGCATGCAGGAGCACCCGTATGGAGAGACCAGTGCAGACCCGTATATGGGAGAGACCAGTGCAGACCCGTCTAGATCCATGGGAGAGACCAGTGCAGACCAGTATAGATCCATGGGAGAGACCAGTGCAGACCCGTCTATCCATGGGAGAGACCAGTGCAGACCCGTATAGATCCATAGGAGAGACCAGCGCAGACCCGTATAGATCCATGGGAGAGACCAGTGCAGACCCGTATAGATCCATGGGAGAGACCAGCGCAGAGACTCAGCGCGGACCCAGTAACCTCCTGCAGCAGCAGTATATATGCCGTTGTTCTGTGGCCCGTGGATAAAGAAATGCCCCCTATAAATAGGAAGGGGTCACTAATACACGGCAAGATTTCCAATGTATTTGATAAAGCGTTGGCACATTTCATTTCAAAATGAATTAAAAAGTAGGCCAGATCTGCAGTGAAAAAGGCGGTATATAAATAAAGATTACTAATAAAGATTACTACAAATAAATAAATACATACATCGATATGACGGACATATCA